TGGAACAAATAGCACTTCCGATCGCGAGACCAAAACTTTGGGTACGATACGTAGACGGCACGTTCGTTATCCTCAAACGTTCCAAAGTGGAGGAAACACAAGAACTAATCAACGGTGTGTTCGAGGGCATCACATTCACCAGGGAAGAAAAGAACAACGAGCAGTTACCATTCTTAAACGTTCTCATATGACGGACTGATGTTGAACAATTAGAAACAACAGTCTACCAAAAATCTACGCATATGGAGCAGATCCCCAACTACAGAAGCAATCATCCGTTGGCTCATAAACGCAGCTGCATGCGAATGTTTTCAAAAGAGCACAAACCCATTGTAGCACACCGCAGGTGAGATGGGCAGAAGAAGACCATCTCCTCAATCTGCTCACGCAGAACTCGTACCCAAAAGGCTTCATTCTACGCTACCTCGCACCACCCATCGTAATGAGGCTGGACCTTACCGTGGTGCAATGGTTTGTGAGCCTCAGCGATCCATTGAGCAATACTGGGTGGTGCATTTGCACCTTCAGAGGCACTCATACCAGATTGGTCAATGGTTAGAGGCCAGACAAACTCAGCCTCCTGGTCCTCCAGGTTGGGGATTGGAATGAGGGTGGCACCTTATTCCTTAAAACCGGATCGTTGTAGCCCAACGTCAAACTCGCTGCCTTGCGGTCAGGTTTTTGAACCAAAGGCTTTGGTTGAGAACCCTAATCGTTCTCCTGTCTAGGCCTGGGCAACCAGACAGTATCCTGCCCACGCAATACCATGAATCATTCCTCAAACAATTTCTTCATGCTCTGACCACCACAGACGATAATCAACGGTGCCCTATCTGCTGCATCGGGCAGGGTGGATAGGGGTTTGGATGCTACTGCTCAAGCCTTCCCACCTTCTTATTCCCCCTCTTACGCTTTTTCACTCCTACCGTCCCGTTCCAACTTCCCATTTATCCCCCCTGTTTTCAACCCCCAATTCTTGGCCCTCTCCTAACATGCTTTGCTAGGCATTTGTCTTCTAATTTCAACTCACATGCTAACGCGGAACGTCATTCCTGCACTGTCAACAGGCCCGTGTCCAACCAAGCGGCCCATTCCACTTCATCGGCTTCCATTTGGAGCCCTCGATCCTCCTTCAGATTGGCATGCCTCAATGTACGCACACTGCTACAAATCGGTCAACAGGCAGCACTTGCCCGAACATTGGAGACCCTCCCGATCGATATCTGCTGCTTATCTGAGACCCGCCTGCAAGACTCGAGCTCTGTGCTCACTCTGCGATCCCCTGCAGGTAACGCAAGCAATGTTTTCTCATTGCGCCTATCCGGTGACGATGCAGCTTCGAGCACTGGCCAAGCTGGTGTTGGTGTTGCCCTGAGTCCCCGGGCTGAAGCTGCTCTGGTTGATTGGATTCCAATCAGTAGCCGGATGTGTGCGATCCGATTGGCTGGCTCATTCAAAGCTTCGAAGTCGCGCGGGACTTATAGGTGTCTATTCATCATCGCTGCCTACGCGCACACAAATTGTAGCAATGATTCGGTAAAGAACCACTTCTACCGCCAACTGACCCAGCTCCTTCGCCACAGAAGAAGCACGGACGCTGTTGTGCTGGCGGCGGATATGAACGCACAAGTTGGAAAGTTTCCAATGATGAAATGCATCTGGGCGGTCAGCACGGTATAGGCTCCCGTAATGATAACGGTGAGCGGTTATTTCATTTGTGTGAGGATGCTCGCTAATTTCTTGCGAGCACTAACTTCCGATACAGCACCCACCGGAGGGTGACTTGGCGCCCACCAGCCTCGAACCAGCCTTGGACGCAGATCGATCACATTGCTATTAGTTACCGCTGGACAGGCTGCATCCAGAACTGTCGCTCGATTTGGAGCACATGTGTGGACGCCGATTATGCACTTGTATGTGCTGCCATGCGTATGCGTTTTGGCGGACGCCCAGGATGACGCTGTGAGCACATTGACACGAGCCAACTGACAAAGCCAGCTGTTCTGAACGCGCATCGAAGTACGCTGACATGCGAGTTCAATAAGCGCTCACTGGAGACAATTGATGGTCAATGGTCACATGTTCACCAGACCTTAATAGCAGCAGATAAATCCTCATGTGGTATGTCTAATAGCCAACATGGATATTGGGTCTCTTCGCTCTCCGCCGTATCCCGGCTGGAAGCGAACACAATGAAACTCGCAAAGAGCTCCGGGCAAAACTCCGTGCTAGCCTGAAGAGAGACCGCGAATCTTGGTGGTCTCATCGTGCGTCAGAGATGGAAGTGGCCGCTGCCCTTGGCAACCGTTGTTCCGTCTGATACGGGAAACGGGCAGCATGAGACCTGGTGTTAGTGAAGCTATAAGTGACGAGAGTGGACAGCCTATCCACAACCTATCAAAACGCATAGAGCGTTGGGCTGAGCACTTTAAAAGGCAATTTAATCGGCTAGAATTGTTCGATTTTTCGCAGGCCAGTGATCGCCCTGCTCCGTGGGCTGTCCCTTTACATCCACCCTCTTGCTCAGAAGTCGAAGGTGAGATCGGACTGTTGAAGTTCAACAAAGCCGCGGGACCAGATGATCTTCCTCCAGCCCTCTTCAAATTCGCAGGGTCTGCTCTTATTGCTGATTTACATGAAGTACTAGTGAAACTGTGGGAGCAGGAGACTGTCCCAACCGACTGGAGCCGTTTCGTTATTGTTCCCATCTTCAAAGGCGGCTCGCGCTCGGAATGCGGCAACCATAGAGGAATCAGTCTGATCTCCATCGCCTCCAAATTACTCGCCTCCATAATTCTTCACAGACTGACTGGCGCTCGTGAAAGCCAGATTCGTGAGGAGCAAGCCGGGTTTCGTCAAGGTCGTGGCTGCATCGACCACATCTTCACCTTGCGTCAGCTGTTGGAGCACCGTCACACATATTGGCGGCCCACCGTAGTCGTGTTCCTCGACTTCGAACGTGCATTCGATTCGGCTGATCGATGTGCCCTTTGGAATTGTCTACTCAGGAAAGGTGTGCCTGAGAAATATGTAAATGTTATCCAAGCATTATACGCGCGTAGCACGGGCAGAGTGAGGGCTAACGGCAAGCTGTCGCCACCCTTCAATATCTCCAGCGGTGTGAGACAAGGATGTCCGCTGTCACCTTTCCTTTTAAACCTCGTTATTGACGAAGTCATGGAGATTGCATTTACAGGACATGACTTGGAAGGTGTGGAGCTACTCCCAGGAGAACGACTTCTTGACTTGGAGTATGCAGAGGACATTGCCCTCATCTGTGACAGCTCCCAGACGCGCCAAGCCGCGCTGGACAGATTAGCACTGGCTGTCAGCCGCTTCGGGCTTTGCTTTGCACCACCGAAATTCAAAGCGTTCCTCCAAGATTGGCAGGGATCGCCTCCTGCGCTGACCCTTGGTGGGGACCAGGTAGAAGTCGTTCAAAAATTCAATTACCTGGGAAGTTGTATCAGCGCCCTTGGGATCGAAGACGAGATCACTAATCGTATAGGAAAAGTTCGAAGTGCTTTTGCTAATCTTTGCCACCTATGGCGGCGGCGCGACATCACTCTCGCCCTGAAGGGTAGAGTGTACAATGCAGCGGTACGTTCGACTTTATTGCACGGTTGCGAAACCTGGCCCCCTAAGATCGGCGGACATAAAGAGGTTAGTTATGTTTGACCATCGGTGCCTTCGAAGTTTGGCTCACATCTGGTAAGAACACCGCGTGAGTAACGAGCGTGTTTGACGCCTTCTATACGGCATAGGAAAAGGAACTAAACTGCTCAGCACCGTCATTTCACGCACCAGGCTCCGATGACTGGGCCACGTGTTGCGCATGCCAGCCCATCGACTCCCTCGACGTGCGTTATTTGCTCACAGAGGATGTGGATGGAAGAGAAGGGGTGGCCAAGCGATGACTTGGTCCAGAGAGTTGAAGGCCCTCACTTCTGAGCTGGCCTCGGTTGGAGCGTCTCGGCTCCCTGGTTGGGGTCCGAAACAGGGTGAACACGTTTGGTTGGATACACTTGCTGACATGGCAAGGAGCCGACGACAGCGGCGTTCCTGCTGTGAGTTTCATCGTCCCTCCCCATCCCTTTTAGCCTCCCCTTCCACCTACGATCTCATTTCTTAGCGTAGAACATAATAATTTTTTTGCCTAGTAGCTGGCTGGTAGCATACCGGAACGATACCTATCCGTTGCTGATAGCTCAGCTGGCATGCAACATGCTACATTCTTTGAGTCGTTCAACGCTTATTTGTTGTCATACGTACTAACGTGGTGCATGATACGCGGGTTGAATAAGGAAACGAAGATAAATCGATGACTTTCAACGTACTACTCTTATGAGCTTCTATGGCTATGGCGCACAGATTCCAAAACTGCATAAAAGATGTGAACCGAATTCCGGAACGTGTTTCGCAACGCATGCATAAGCCACATGCTGCTGTGGATAATTAAGCGTTCAAGGTAGCATGGAACAAGCTGTCGGGTCTCGAGGGCGCCCTAACTGTAGTGTTGCAATGGTAAACAGATGGATTGATGAACGAAAAGTATCACGGTGTATTCTCGCTTGTTTGTTGATGAGTCATAGGAGATACTTGAGTTCAGGATGTGATTGTGCCCATTAAGCAGCATCCACAAATGATCAAAAGTGAAGGTAAGCCACATTCAATCGTCACTAAGTGGAACAAAGCTAGAATAATCTAGCCGCAGTTACATTGAGTCCTAAATTAGCATGAGCCAGCTGAATGGCCACAAGGGTGCTTTCGAAGAGACGCATCAACTGTAGTCATACACGCCGTTCAAACGCAACGGATTTCACATTCGTAAACCGTTGACAGATTTTCGACTCACCATCGGTGGGGATAGAAGGTTGATAATTGCCGGTGTGATCAGTAAAACTAGTCCGGTCGCATCGGGAAGTTTGTCCATTACCCCGAGCCAAATCCATAAGTTCCTAAAAGTGAAATTCCAATCAAAAGACGGGTCAACAAGAGCTGTTGCAAAGCAGTTTTGTCTGGGCAAATCCAGCATACATGCTCGATGAACGCCAATGGATAGTTGGTTTAGTGACCGATAAAGGACTAACCGGATGAGAAAAAGAACGTGACAGGGGGAAGAGAGGGGATTAAAATGAAGCGAAACACAAGGAGACTGGACAGTAGCTGACAGGAAATCCTTTGCTTCTTCATTGAAGTGCCTATTAAAGTTGAAACGCATAGGATGGCCAGATCAGCTTCTCCGTATGCTAGTTGAACGCATTCCTCCGCTTGTATTAAATGCTATCACTGCACCCAGTTGAGTTAAAGCAAAAGGTAGCCAGTCGACGACGGGACATAAATACGTGAAGAAACTGACCAGAAGACTTGGGCAGACTGATACTTGCCGTCACTATCGATGGGGCCTCGGGATGGCACACAGCAGTGCTTAGAGACTTCGTAGCCAGTGGCGCTTCCTTATATTGTTTCTGGTGCGCGCGCGCCCGCTGTCACATTCCCACTTGGAGTTCGCCATCGACGAAGTAATGGAAATCGCGTTCACTGGAAACGACTTAGGTGTGGAGCTGGTCTCATGAATCTGGAAGGAAGAAAATGGATGCCAACCGCTGAGTTGGTCAAGAGGAATGAAGGCCCCACTTCAAAGTTGGCCTCGGCTAGAGTCACTGGACTTCAGAACCCGATTGGTTGGAGACACTTGTTGACATGGCGAATAGCCGACCTCAAAGGCGTTCGTCCGTCTCCATTCCGCTTAAGCCACCCACTCCAACTATGATCTCCCTGTCGATGCACAATACAATAAAGCAGAATGTTGCATGTTTCTACGTTGCCCTATGTATCATTTGTTACTCATTAATTGCCTTTTTTGAATTTCATACTGCATTGTATTGCGGCGCAACAGCTGGGGTATTATTTCTCAATTCCAGGTAATCTGTGGAGTGAGTTCTGTTGCATAACGATCAATGATACTCAATTCTTTTTTATTTTTGATAAGGCTTTCATCCCAGTGGTTCACAAGCTACATAGCAGAGTGTAGTCCGGAAAAGCACCAGACGCGTTTCGCCCTTTGGGGCTCGTCAGTGGTGCGCATTCCATCGGTCCCCTACTGGGGATCGAGGCCATGACTCCTAGAGCATGCCAAGTAGCCAGCAGCTTAAGCCACTGAGCCATGCGGGACGTCGGTTGAGCTACATAATTTGCCATCTATGTTCAACTTCATCCTTCTCAACAATGTTATTTAGGCCTGTGTTCCGGTGACGGATGCAATGTCTACTGACACCACTGCACCCCCTGCTCGAAGCCTAGTCGTCTAACTGGACTGAATTGAAAGATATGGGGGCCGGGTAATTTATACGTGTGAACCAGTAAAAGGTAGTCAGAAGTAAAGGAAATCACAATTGAACAAGTCAATAGCAATGCGGATGCACTTAATTAGATAGGAGTTGCGGACTGTACATACCAACGACAGAACGGTCAAATGCACTCGAAACATATTTGGATTATCCACACAATCAGTAAGCCGCGAAGCCTTGAGTTCAAACGTGAACAAATGCAGTAACACATAGGAGTATAGTAACTGCAACAAGAATGCAGCTAGTGACTGCGCGTGTCACCCGCGAATGTGCAGCGACTTTAGGCAACAACAACGTCTGATGACAGGCGGAGGGCATGATCCCTTAACATATATCCGTTGAGAGGTTCCCATGGGCAACCATAAGGGTTAGAAACTGATCTGAAACCACCTAGGTATAAATCGTAACCCAATGTGGTCAGTGTGAAGGATATAATGCAAAACAAGTTAGAGTTTTGTGCTGCTTGAGCAAGCGAAAATGCTTCAACGTACTTTGCGATATATGACCCTGTCACGAGCCAAATAGAGTTGAATCTGTGCCAGGGTGTCCGACTGGACTGCCGCGTTCGCCATGACCTTGATGAGAGCGGAGCACATGGTAGCTGGACCGAACCAGGACCCCGGGGATCGACTGCTCACTTGGACAATGCGGTGTAGGGAAAGCAAAGCATCAGGTGACCATGAATCGTGAAACCAGCGAATGATCTGGCGGTAGAAAGGGTTTTGCGATGTACGAATAGGACTAAACCGGGGGAAAGGAAAGGCAAGGGCGTTTAGATCCGAACAATTCGGTCAAATCAAGTTGACTCAGAAACAAATGAGAGTAGGAAAAATGAACAAGTAGAGACGTCGGAACACAAAGGCAAAACAGTTGGAAACGAGGGAATGCGAAAGCGCATCTGACTATCCGATAAAAGGAGTGCATCCGGCCGACAATACAACTGAATCGGCGACCCCAGCGCAAGAACATGACAGACAGCAGATTGCCTCTGCCTTTTGATTAGTCCCACGGTTCGTTGGCACGCAACCGGCTAGCTAACGTGAAGACTCGTCCAATCCGGTGGAAGCACAACAAGTAAAAGATATCGGAGAGAGTTGCTTGATTTGCAGGAGTGAGAAGGGTTCTAACGCTCATACAATAGTAAGAAGATACTTCGGAAGCAGCACGAGAATCGCTCTGGAGTTGTATAGATGACTAAAATCGTATTCAGAGCCTCCGTGACCGTACTCGAGGTGCAAATGACCATGCCACGAAGGTTGAAGGCTACGGTAGAAAAGAGTTATAAAAATTGTCTTTGTATGCACAGATACTATTTGAGATGGAGAACAGACAACCTCAGTAACAGGTAGATGTTCCAGCAATCCGCGCGAAAGTCGCCATGAGGCTGAACATTAACGTGGTGTAATGGTTTGTGTTACACCGATCAAATGAGTTATGCTGGATGGCGCTTTTTGCACCTTCAGAGTCACTCATACCAGATTGGTCAACAGTTAGAAGCCAGTTAGACTCAGTCTCCTGGCCCTCCAGATTAGGGGTTAGAGTGAGAGTCGATCCTTATTCCATAAAACAGGCCATCTGTAGTCCAATACCAAAACCCAGTTGCATTGCGGTGAAGATTTTGAACCAAAGCCATTGGTTGAGAACCCTAGTCGTTCTCCTGTCTAAACCTGGGCAACCTGACAGTATTCTGCCATCGCGAAATAATGAACCACTCTTCTAACAATTTCTTGATGAGCTGGTCGTCGCAGAGGATAATCAGCGGCGCCATAACTGCAGCATCGAACAAGGTGAATGCAAGGTTGGATGCTACAGCTGAAGACTTCAGGTGCTCTCATCCCACTTCTTGCAACTTTTGTCGTTGTCATCCCGTTACAACATTACTTTTATCCCCCATTTCCAATCCCAAAAATCTTAGCCCTCCACCACCTTCCTTCAACAGTCGCTTGGCTCCTAGTTTCAACTCACACACAGTCGCAGGGCGCCGCTCTAATCCAGCCGAAAAGCCCATGTTCAACCAAACGGACAACATCAGTTCATCCGTCTCCATGTGGAGTCCTATAGTCTCGTTAAGACTGACATGCCTCAACATGCACACTTTGTTACAAATGGGCCAACAGATAGCAATTGCCCGCACACTCGAGACCCTATCCATCAATATTTGCTGTTTAGCAGAAACCCGCCTGCAAGATTCCAACTCCGTGCTTACCCTGCGGTTCCCCATGCGCGACAATGGCGGTACATTTTCATTGCGCACGTCCGACGATTAGGCAGCCGCAAATACAGGTAAAGCTGGCGCCGGTGATGTTTTGACTCCCCGGGCTGTCCAGATCGACTGGATCCCAATCAACAGTCGGATGTGCACCATTAGATAAGATAGTTCATTCCATGCTAGGAGGTCGCGCAATGACAAACGGTGCCTGTTTGTCATTGCGGCCTACGCCCCTACAAACTGTAGCACTGATTCCGTGAGAAATAATTTCTATCATCAACTTAACGATCTCCTTCGTTTCAGAAGAAGCATGGATACGGTGGTGCTTGCTGGTGATCTAAACGCCCAAGTCGGAAAATTGTCCTCTGATGAACTTCATCTGGGCGGCCAACATGGTGTAGACTCCCGTATTGATAACGGTGAGAAGTTGCTACACCTATGTGATGATGCTCGTCTCTTTCTCGCGAGCACTAACTTCCACATAGCACCCGCAGATGAGTGAATTGCAACCCACCAGCCTCTGACCAGCCATGAACGCAAATCAATCACCTTGCAATTAGTTACCGCTGGAAAGGCTGTGTCCAAAAATGCCGCTCAATTTGAAGCACCAGCGCGGACTCCGATCACGCTCGTGTGTGTGCCGACCTTCGGGTGCGTTTCGGCGAACGCGCACAACGTCGCTTCGAGCGCATCGACACCAGCCAACTGGCGAAGCCAGGTGTTCTGAATGCGTAACAAAGTACGCTGGCATCCGGGCTGAGTAAGCGACCACTGAACACCGTCGAAGACCACTGGTTGCATATTCGCCAAACGTTACTATCAACAGGCGTCATCATGTGGCAAAGCAAATTGCCAACCTAAACATTGGGTCTCTATAAAGTCTCTGGGATTTACGGATGCTAGCACACGTATTCCGGCTGGAAACGAATACAACGAGACTCGCAAAAATCGCAGGGCAAAACTGCGTGCTAGCCTGAAGAGAGACCGCGAAGTCTGGTGATCTCATCGTGCATCGGAAATGGAAACAGCCGCTGCCGTTGGTAATTATTCCGTATGATATGGGAAACAGGCAGCAGGAGACCTGGTGCTAGCGAGACCATACGCGAGGAGAGTGTGCAGGCGACCCACAGCCTGTCAAAACGCTTAGAGCGTTCGGCTGAACACTTTGCAAGACAATTTAACCAATCTGAGTTACCGCTTTCTTTTTCAAACATTGAGTGTCCTTTTCCATGGGCCGTCTCCTTGGATCCGCCCTCACGCGCAGTAGTGGAGCGTGAAAGCAGATTGTCGAAATTGCATAAGGCCGCAGGAGCAGATAGAATTGCGCCAACCCTCTTCAAATTCGGGGGACCTGCTCTCGTAAATGAATTACACAAGTTGCAAGTGAAACATTAAAAGCAAGAGACTCTCCCGACAGAGTCGCTTCGTTATAGACCCCATTTTCAAGGGAGGCTCCCGTTCGGAATGCGGCAGTCATAGAAGGATCAGTTTGATCTCAATTGCCTCTAAATTGCTTGCGTCTGTCGTTCTCTACAGACTGACTGGTACTCGTGAAGTCCAGATCTGCGAACAGTAAACCGGATTTCGTCGAGAACGGGGCTGCATCAACCACATCTTCATTTGCGCCAATGGGTGGAGCACCACCATGCGTATTATCGACCCACCGTTGTCGTTTATCTCGACATAAAAGGCGCCGTTGATTCGGTTGATCGAAGTGCCCTTTGGGACTGTTTGCTGAAGAAAGGTGTGACCGACAAAAACGGAAACATTATCGAAGCGCTGTACGTGTATAGTTCGGGTAGAGTGAGGGTTTATGGCAAGCTGTCGCCACCCTTCAGTATGTCCAGTGGTGTGAGACAAGGTTGCCGATGTCGCTTATCCTTTCTAACCACTATTGAAGAAGTCATGGAAACATCGATCGCTGGACACGACCTAGAAGGTATGGATCTGCTTCCTGGTGAGCGACTTCTTGACTTGAAGATGCGGACGATATTACCCTAATCTGTGACAGCTCCCAAACATGCCAAACAGCACTGGACCGATTAGCACTGGCTGTTAATCGTTTCGGGCTATGCTTTACTCCATCGAAACGCAAAGTACTTCTTCAAGATTGGCAGGAACCAACCCCTGTGCTGATCCTTGGTGGTGATCAACCAGAAGCCCTTTAGGAACACAAGTATCTGGGTAGCTATATTAGCGCCGTGAGATCGAAGATGAGATTACGAACCGTATAGCAAACGCAAGAGGCGCTTTTGCCAATCTCTGCCACCTGTGGCGCAGACGCGACATCACTCTCGCCCTGAAGGGCAGAGTTTATAATGCAGCCGTCTGTTCAACTCCAGTAAATGGTTGTGAAGCCGGGCCCATCAGGTCGACAGACATAAAGAAGCTAGTCAAATTCGATGATTGCAGCCTTCACAGCTTAGTTCATGTCCGGTGGGAGCACCGCGTGAGCAATGAGTGTGTTGGGCGTCGCGTATTTGGTGCAGGAAGAGCGAGTGAACCGCTCAGCACCATTATGTCACGCACCAGGCTCCGATGGATGGGCCACATGTTGCGCATGCTAGCACACCGACTCCAGCGACGTGCACTGTTTGCGCGCCGGGGATGCGGATGGAAGAGGAGGCCAAGCAATGACTGAGTCGAAAGGAATGAAAACCCGCACTTCGAAAGTGGCGTCGGTTGGTGCATCCCGGCTGTTTGGCTGGGGTCCTAAAGACGATGAAAACGTTTGGTTGGACACACTTGCTGAGATGGCGAACAGCCGGCCCCAGTGGTGTTTGTGTTGTGAGTTTCTTTTTCCCTTCCCTCCCGCTTAGCCTCCCCCTCCAACTACGATCTCAATTATTAGGGGTAATATGACTACTTTGCGGCAAAATAAACGGTTGTTAGCTCTTCGGAACCTTGTGCATCTGTTACCAGTGACAGCCGGCGTGCTTGTTTCATTTCATTTCTTTTCTTTCGTATTGAGGCGCAATAGCTGAGATGTTCTGCACCTGCAGCTAACGTGGATAATGATAGTGATGATGCGCGAAAATCGCTCAGGTATGAAAGAGATGACCCTAAAAACACGGATAATGGAAATATCTATCCATTGTTAAAATCAGCTATATACGGCACCTTTACCTATGCGGGCAATGAGAGTTTGACGGATAGTTCGTTGAACTTCAGTAGAACCAGTAAACAAACGTCAGTCAGTAAGCAATGATACTACACGAGGAGCGTACTAAATGTTAGCGATGAACTGAATGGGTTGGCGACCGGATTAGCCCATTTTTCTTTTCTTTCATATCCGTAATTGTTAAACCAATGCTTTTATGATGATGCAAGTAGAGTGAATGGATTCACTGCGCATCAGTGGACGGACAAAGCGACCTGAGGCGCCCCTAGCGCTTGCTGGCGATGTTCCGGCCCAACCCAATGACAGAAGTATAGATGTGCTTCTAAACGCGCAACTTTTGACCGATAAACTAAAGTAGAGCTATCTCCACATGCGGTACAGGTTGGGGGGAAACGATATGGTAGTAAAGAT